CATCTCTACTAAAAATAGAAAAATCAGCCAGGCAAAGCAAAGCATGCCTGTAACCTGGGAGGCTAAGGCAGGAGGACTAAGTGGTGAGGTGAGGTGAGGTATTATGACGCCAGGGCACTCTACCCACGGCGACAAAGTGAGACTCTGTCGCAAAAAAAAAAGAGAGAGAGAATTGGAAGAATCCAAATATGCCTCAACGAAGGAATTAGTAAACAAACTAGTACATCTATACAATGGAATATTACTGAGCAATAAAAAGAAACAGGCTCGGTGCCTGTAGCTCAAGCAGCTAAGGCACCAGCCACATACACCAGAGCTGGCAGGTTCGAATCCAGGCCAGGCCCACCAAACAACAATGACAACTACAACCAAAAAATTGGCTGGGCATTGTGGCAGGTGCCTATAGTCCCAGCTCCTTGGGAGGCTGAGGCAAGAGACTCACTTAAGCCCAGGAGTTGGAGATTGCTGTGAGCTGTGAGACCACAGCACTCTACTCAGGGCAATGCTTAAGGCTCTGTCTCAAAAAGTAAATAAATAAATAAAAAGAAACAGATTACTGATATAAATGCCCCCTAAGAGGATGAATCTAAAATGTACTGTGCTAAGTTAAAGAAGCAGACTCAAAGACTTTTTATTTTTTTGCAGTTTTTGGCCAGGGCTGGGTTTGAATCTGCCACCTCCTGCATATTGGGCCAGCACCCTACTCCTTTCAGCCACAGATGCTGCCCTCAAGAACCTTTTAATTACATTCACATGAAATTCTGCTAAAGGGATAACTACAGGGGCAGAAAAGAGATCAGTGGTTGCCAGAGGCCAGAGGAGAAGAGGCACATAGGAGCTCTGAGGGATGATGGAGCTGGTCTATATCGTGATTACGGTGGTAGTTATAGGACCGCTATGTGTTTGTCAAAACTGTGGAAATATTTTTAAAAAGGGGTAAACTTTACTGTATGTAAACTGTACTTTAATAAACAAAGTTTAATACAATAGCATGTATTTGTGTAAAAAAAAAATAATAATAAAAAACAAAGTTGAGGGCGGTGCCTGTGGCTCATTGGGTAGGGCCCCATATACAGAGAGTGGCAGGTTGAACCCGGCCGGGCCAAAATACGACAAAAAAATAGCCGGGCGTTGTCGCAGGTGCCTATAGTCCCAGCTACTCGGGAGGCTGAGGCAAAAGAATCGCCTAAGCCCAGGAGTTGGAGGATGCTGTGAGCTGTGTGATGCCATCGCACTCTACTGAGAACGATAAAGTGAGACACTGTCTCTACAAAAAAAAAAAAAAAACCAAGAATAGTTTTCTCAACTTTGGTCTTTAGAGTAAGTTATGTTCTACCACTAAACCTATCAATAATATCCGTAATATATTTCAAGCCAATTTCTTATGAGTCATCAATGTAACTTCTGATTGTTTTCATGCCTTTGCATTCTCAGAAATAATGACTGTGGTTAATGTGAACTGCTCTTTCTCTTAATTATTTAGTCTCTTGAAAATAAAAGAACTATGGGGATTCTACGTTTAAAATAGAATCTGTTGCCCAAAATTCAGAACTTTCTACTGAGCAAATTCGACAGCTACACCAACATGATGACTGTAGCTCTTTATAGTTTGACTTCTACTAAGGATTTTTCAACTTCAAATATGAACTGGATGGAATTTCAGAGCTTAGTCCATAGCAGTGAATCCAATTTAGGAGGAAACGAGACTCAACACCTTTTATTCCACTTCAGCAAACATTTACTCACTATAAGAGAGACTCTATGAGCAGGAGAAGTTACAGTATTCAGCCTCAAGGACTTCAACAATAAAGAGAATAAAAAGAAGGCAGATACACTACAACCAACCAAATCCGAACTGGGCAATAAGTATGTACCCCAAAAAGTACACAGTGCTGCGGATATTCAATGGCACTAGATTGAAACACGCTTTAAAATAAAGACCCAACTTTTTCTTTTTTTTTTTTTTTGAGACAGAGCCTCAACCTATTCCCCTGGGTAGAGTGCCGTGGCATCACAGCTCACAGCAACCTCCAACTCCTGGGCTCAAGCGAGTCTCCGGGATCAGCTTCCCAAGTAGCTGGGACCACAGGCGCCCACCACAACGCCCGGCTATTTTTTGGTTGCAGCCATCATTGTTTGGCGGGCCTGGGCTGGATTCAAACCCCCCACCTTAGGTGTATGTGGCTGGCGCCTTAGCCACTTGAGCCACAGGCGCCAAGCCAAGACCCAACTTTTACAGCAGAAATGATATTCTAAGCAGAGAAAGAAGAGTGAGAAGACAAGAAGAGACCCTAAAGCCTGTAGAAGGTAAGAACATAATACATTCAATAAAAGAAGTGTGTCCCAAAGGCACAATAAAATCCCTGCACTATGCACCTGGAGACCTTGCACTCTGGGAGGCTGAGAGGAAGGATCCTTTGAGCCCAGGAATTTTTTTTTTTTTTTTTTTTGAGACAGAGCCTCAAGCTGTCCCCCTGGGTAGAGTGCCCTGGCATTACAGCTCACAGCAACCTCCAACTCCT